TCTGATGTTCCAGGAGCACAGTAATCTTTTTCTGGATCTGTTTCTTCATGTCAGAAAGCCTTATGGTGAATGATCTTTTCTCATCAGACAACACAATAGAGCTGGCTGTGTACACTGACCCATCATGTAGAACTCTGAAATCAGGGTCGCTTGACTGGATCAGGTCTGCAGACCTGAGGCACTCTTTCAAATTAACTACAAGTAAGAATTTCCATGTTGTAAAGTAGAAACATATGGAAAAAGAAAAAAACAAAAAACTTAAAATAATTTATACAATCTTCTTCAACATCGTGAAGTAAAATGGAAATACATCAATCAGTTTGCATTTACCAAGTATCTTAACCAGTCTCTTTACTTGTATTAAAAAAATAATGATAATTTTCTTCCAGTTAAAAAAGAGTAATTCTTGATTGTATACTTGTATTAAATAAGGTGCTTTAAGCCTTTATATGCTTCTAAAAGCCTTATGAAAATGATCTTCCTTTAAAAGAGGTGTGCGTATTGCAATCATGACAAAGCTGAGCCATACACCCACACACACACCTGAAGAAACAAACAGAAAATTTTCCTTAACAATATAGTCTGAGTCTTTTAAGATACGCCTGTCTTTAGCCAGAAGTTACAAGGGTCCAAAGAGCAATGCAGTGTATAAGTTAGGCAAATAGACAAGTAAGAAAAATGTATCTTTGAATTCTTCCCACTGGCCCTCTTCTGTTACTCCCTTCTAACTACCCTCCCTGCATCAGGCCTGCAGTTCTCTTTGTGTTCCTAGCTTCCCAGGACTCCCCACCGAAAGTCTACATGGGGTCTGCTCTCCCTGGGAATTTTGCCCTGTAGTACAAGGCAATGGAATATAAATATCTATATAAGTGTTTTGATACTTAATATCAAAAGTATCAAATTCATCCCCTTCTTCAATTATCTGCCTTAACAGAAACCAAACTGATAAATTAATACTTATGTAATAACCTCTCAAAGGATTCACATGTCACCCGTGTATAGTGGTTTTTTTATTTATTTATTTTTTTCAATTACAGTTGACATTAATATTATATTAGTTTCAGGTGTACAGCATAGTGATTAGGCCTTTACATAATTCCATGTATAGTGTTTTCTGTTTAATCCTAATCNTTTTGAAACCAGAGTTCTGGATTTAAATACAGACAATCAAGTGTGCTTGCACGAGATTTGGAAGCCATAAGTGAAATAGATGTCTCCTTTCTGCTGTTTCTGCCATTTTTGCTGGCATCATAGTTTAGATGCTTTTCTTTGCTTTGCTTTCCCTCCCCACCCCTCCCCTCCCCTGCCCTCTCCTCTCTTCTCTGTTCCTTTCCTTTAGCAGCAGAACTTCTAGTAGTTTCACACAAGCTTAGTGGATGTGAGAGACAGGTTATGGATCCATCTTTTTGCTGACTGGAGCAGTTAAGATGTTCTAAAGCTGTATTTGGAAGAGCAGCGTCATGACCATGGCAATGGCACTTGGGCTCTAGAATTAGTGGCTTCCCCATCATGGAGAAAGTAGCATGTCTCTTGGTTGTGGATTCTATGGTGTAGCCTGGGGTTCACTACTGAAAATTTAACCTAAACTTTGTTTCCTCAACCTACCCAACAATTCTATAGACTGTTTAATACACTGTAGTAAATCCCTATCTGTTAATTACTTAGACAGAATTATGCTCTCTACAAGTAAAACCTTACCAAACAGACTCTAATGCCCCAACAACTTTCAGCTGGAGCTGCCATTTACTGAGATGGGAGGGTGTTTTTAGGAGAAAACCCAAACATTTGATTGGTATATGTTACGTTGGAAATGTCTGTTAAACTTCCATGTGGAAATATCAATTAGGCAATTTGGGCTAGAAATATGAAGTCTTAAGTCTCCAGTGTATAAATAATACTTAAAGCTAGATTAGATGAGATCACAGAGAGAGTGAATATTTAAAAAGAAAAGAAAAGAAAACAGAGACAAGGTTCATGGACTGAGCCCTGGAACTCTACAAAGTTTAGAGATTGGGCTGGCAGGGCGTGGGGGGAGATGGGAAGGAAAGCAGGGAAGAACTAGCAAACCATACTACGTGGAAAACTAGATGAGTGGTGTCCTAGAAGCCAAGTGAAGAAAGTATTTCCAGGGAGAGAGAGAGGTCA